CCTTCGGGCCCCCGAAGCCATAAACCCTTCAGAAGAAGAAACCAAAAACCCTCCAGAAGAAACCAAAAAACGAGACGGTGCAAGAGGCCCCCGAGACGGCCCGAGAGTGCTTAAGTCGCCCAAGATGGTCCAAGATGGCCGAAGGCTCCCACGATGCCCCCAAGAGCGCTCCAGAAACGCCCCCAAGAGGGGCCCAAGAAGCCAACGTCTGAGCTCCCCGTTCGGTATTTGATGGTTTGGGTACTCTCATATACGCAGTGGTTCCAGCTTGGAGTTCCGACGCCGCTTCGCGACGGCGCCCAGGCCTCACAACGTAGCTCTTGCAAGCGCCATTATCCGAGAGACGGGGGGCCGGCGGCAGGGGGCGAAGCCCTCGCGGACAGCATGTGCTATGCGATTCCACGCCTTGCCCTGCAATGCTGTGATATGAAGCGCTTGGCTACGCAGTGCCATGCGATGCAAGGGCATGCCATGCAACGCTATGTCATGCGCCGCTATGAGACGCCATGCGTTCCGTCGCAATGTTACGATCTGCAATGCTTGACTACGGCATGGTACGCCATGTTATGCATCGCTCGCCCTTCCATAGATACCCGACTGTGCGAATAGAGTGGCGCTTTACGGATTCGCAAGTGATGGGGAGAAGGGGTACGACGTCCGATATGACGCGAGCGCACCTAGCTTGTCTCCTCTCTGAGGCGGCCAGGGGGTCTGATCCTGTTGGGGCCCCGCCCATAACATTCGGCCAGTAAGAGGGTGAAGCCAAATTCGCTCAAATCGGTCCCTGGATCCCACCCGGGGTCCATTTGGTGCAGTTGTTCAGCCAGTATCCGCTTTCGACGGTCCTGGGCACCTAAACGGCTCTTGGAGGCCGAGAAAAGCAAAAAACCTTCCCGAACCCAGACTCCCGAACCTGCCCCCCCGTCCTTGCTCGCTGGAGCCAGTGCTGGGCCACCTAGCTTGTCCCCTCCCTCCCTCGCGAGTAGCCGAGGCGGGCCGCAGTCTCTTCCCGCGTCGCGCCGACTAGCGCCGCAGCTTGGCCCGCACGACGGGATGGAGATCAAACGCCTCCCTCCTGTCGAGAAGCCTGGATCGACGGGGACGTCTGACCCGCATCGCTGAGCAAAGCAAGCGAAACGCTATCGGCATTTCGAGCCTCTCGTGCGTCACAAGCAGGCCTAATAGGAGACGTGTCCCCTCCCTCCATGCCTTCTCCCATACCCCTCCGTGCGTGGCAACTTTGGCTCAAGCGAGCCGCACGCGTCGGGAGGCCCCCGCCAAGCGCGCCTGCGCCGACCGCGGGCGCGCAGGTGGCCGCCGTGGATGCCCGGCCTGCTGCCGTGCTGCGGCGGGCTGTTCGGGGATCCAAGGGCAAGATCAAAGACCAGTCGGCGGCCGGAAAGCAAGCATTGACTTCTTTCAGCGAGATTACTGCCTCCCATGTTTATTGAAAAACGGCATGCGGCTGAGAAGAACTGCCCTCAGTCAAAAGAGTCTGCCTTCAGTGAAGGAGTTTGCATCCAGCGAGTTCGAGTTCGGAACAACAATCCTTCCATGAATGTCTGTTCGTTTCAGGAAGCAAGACATGACGCCCACAGCGGGCTGCAGCGAGTGCACGGGCGCTAGCCCGACGTTTGAGGAGGGCTGGATCGCAGCTTGGGCAGAATCGTGCTGAGGCCGTTGCCATTCGATGCAAGGCCGTCGGGTCAGATTATGTTGCCTTGCGCGGCTGTGCTCTAGAGCTCGGAGCCATTCGTTTTCGTCGCCGTTCGTTCGCTCGCTCGTCGCCCCCCCGGGGGCCCCCCCTGCCCCTGCCCCTGCCTCCTCATGATGGTCAGGACGGCCCCAGGAGAACACCACGATGGTCACAAGAACCTCCTCCTCACCCCGCTTCGCCTGGCCCTCGCCTTCCCTCGTGCAAGAGCCTGGGCATGCGCACCACTTGTATGTGTCCAGAAACGGTCGTTGCCCAGGCTGGGGAGGCTAGGGCCCTCTGTAGCAGTAGCGCTTGGGCGGGGTGGGGCACGTCGGGGCGGGGGTGCGAGCACCAGCATGTGGAAGGATCGGTCCAAGCCACCACTCTCCACTACGTACGATCGTTACCGTTACCCTTGTGTGTGTGCGTGGCCCAGACAACAAGCGTTACGCGCCAGAGCGCAAAAAAACAGTCCACAGCCCTTTTGGGCCATTGGTCCCTGAGCGACCAGCACGGGGCACACCAACACATACGACGAGGCGATCGCTGCCGCCGAGCTCTTGGGAGTCGACTTCGACGGCGACCTGAAGAATCTCGCCTTCGGGCATTGGGGGAAGCATGCGGCGCCTCCTGGTTCCGAGAGGCTGTTGGTCTTGCACAAGGCAATGCACGCATCTGCCTTGAAGGCGTTCCGAGACAATCTCTGCGGCAGCTCATGCAGGTATTGGTGCTCTTCTGAGTGGCCTTTCCTCCCCTGCTCCTGCTAATCCTCTATTGCGCTTCCCCCTCCTCATCCTCTCCTCGCGTCGCCTTCTACTCCCCCCGATGATGTTTAGGCAAGGTGCTGCCACCGGGTCTCCAGAAAAGTATCGTAAAGCAGGTAGTCCATGGGCTTTACCGTTGTCTGGAATAAAGGACGTGACGTAACTACATGCTGCTGACTAGCCTGCGGTGTGTCGTGAGGTGCGTCGTGCATGGTGTACCTGCGGATTGTCATGCTCCAACTGATTGTCCTGTTTCTGCTCAGGAGTTTCCTGGTGAATTGGCTGAGGGCCCTGTTCTTAAGCGTGATGCTGCTGTTGACTTTCAGCCTGAGCGTGCAGCTGTGTGTGTGTGTTCTGATCGTTCTGATCATGCCGATGTTGTATTTCTGGGTCGCCCCTCTGATGTACAAGTGGATCACCCTGGGCCTGGAATTCAACTTGAGCCTGCTGTTCTACGTGTTCGTGCTGAGCCTGCTGGACCTCGCGATCCAGAGCCGCGTTCAGACCCTGGTGTGCACGCTCTTGTGCGGGATGCTCGTGACCCTCTGTGCGATCAACATGCTGGTCGCCATTCCGCGCCTGCTGCACCTCGTGGTGATGGTGCGCCTGATCTTCAGCGGCTTGGGCTCGTCGGTCCTTCTGCATCTGCTGTGGATTGTCCTGAAGGTGATGTCCCCGAGCGTCCCCTTGTGTTGCCAGCCCGACTTGGTGGACTGCACCCCAGGTGGTTGCGAAGGCCTGGCTCGAGACTGTACCTGTCCACATTCGTCTCCCAGCTAATAACCATCGTCCTAGTGATTGGCAGAGTGTTGGTGTTTGCGGCCAACGCCCGAGAAAGAAGGCCCGTCGTGATACCCCGTGATGCGTGCCATCCTGGCAACCCCGCCCTACTGCCAGTTGCGCGCGAGCGTACGTTTATGTAGTACCAGCAGAAGGGAGCGGGAGGTCAAGGAAAGACGAGGGCGAGGATGAGGACGAGGACTCGTGCCACGAGTTCTTGCGCTGAGTTCTAGATTACAGCATGATGTGCACCGAGAAGCGTGGGAGCTTGAACGAATGATGTGCCAGGGAGCTGAAGCTGGACGTCTGCCCACGTGAGAATAAGGTGCCGCCTCTCCCCTCTTCTCCTCCTCCTCCTCCTCCTCCTCCTCCTCCTCCTCCTCCTCCTCCTCCTCCTCCTCCTCCTCCTCCTCCTCCTCCTCCTCCTCCCCGTCGTGGCCCTCTTCCTCGCTCTCCTCCTGCGCCTCCCTGTCGTCTTCATTTCGGCGGCGGCGCGCCGGGGGGGGGGGGCGAGAAGGCCTCGGAGAAGCCTCGGAAAGCTTGCCAGGAGGCCGGAAGCCGCCCGCGCCTTCTGAGAGCGCCCGCCCCCTCGCACTTCCGCCATATGGCGCACTGCCGATATCCTCCAACGGTGTGTACTTCCACTCGGTCACCGAGCTGGACGACAGGGGTGGGACTCTGGTGGTTTCGTCCTGCCAGATGATGACGGGGCAGACTCGACGAGCTCCGTTTCAACAGGGGCATTCCGCCGTCGACGATGCGAATCGCGCGGCGGGAATGGGTCACGGAGCACGCGTCGCGCGAAGCGGCAAAGTGTCACTCTCGCATCGGCGCCACTTTTCCCGAGCACAGTCAACCCGTATAGTAAGGACGCACGAGAAAGATGCAAGGGCCCTGGAAGGCCATGTCGGCACTTTGCAGGCCGAAGGGGAAGGATGCAGGGGTACTCCAAGTTTCTCAGTAAGCGTCGGGGGGCCGTCACCCCCGCCGACAGCCCCACATCGACCCCCGTCGCGGGCAGCCACCGCGCGCCGGAGCCGCTCCGACCCCCGTCGCGGCGCGACGACGAGGCGAGGTTGACCCCCGTCGGGGGAGGTTACACCCCACGCTTATCGAGAAACCCAGAGCAACCTTGGAAAGCCGCTCCATCCTCACTGGGCGGGTTGACCGTATTCGGCTCCCGCTCTGGCGCGGCACACATCCGTCGCTCGCACACCCGTCGACACCGAGGGCCGCGCACGGGCGGGCGGAGCGCAGCCCTCGCACGGAGGCGCCGCGCAGAGGACGCCTAAAAGCTGCGCTCCCGCTTGGGCGCGGCTCCCATGCTTCGGGGGTTGCTGAAGGTGCCCCTGGCCCAGGGCGCCCCCAGCTCTTCGCTCCAGGTTGGGGCCCTCTGGGGCCCTCTGGGCCTCGTGAGGACTGCTCTGGGGGCCGTGGAGGCCTCCTTGGAGATCCTGGGGGCACCGTGGGCCAGGGGCACTCCTAGCAACACCCGGATCTTTCACTCGCCGAATCGTTGGGAGCGGGGCCGTGTGCGAGCGGGCGAACTGCGGCCCTCGCCCACTACGCACAGAGTTCGCATACAATCGGACCTAGGACAGAATCACACCCCTCAAGAACATGAGATCCTCCGCCGGCCAGACTGAAGAACCTTCGAGGGCACCCTCCTCCCAGGATGCACAAAAACATCCAACAGACACGGAGAACATGAGAGCACCCTCCCCGAACCGACCTCGATCTTACACCTCGGTCCGGCCGTACCCCTCGTTCCATATCCCCCGCCCCGTTTGGGGGTGGATCTGGAAAGGGGGGGGTACGGCCTCCTCCTCCTCCTCCTCCTCCTCCTCCTTCTCCTCGATCCTCCACCTCCTCCTCGATCCTCCTCCTCCTCCTCCTCATCCTCCTCCTCCTCGATCCAACTCCTCGATCCTCCTCCTCCTCCTCCTCCTCCCCCTCCTCCTCCTCCTCCTCTCCTCCTCCTCCTCCTCTCCTCCTCCTCATCCTCCTCCTCCTCCTCTCCTCCTCCTCCTACTCATCATCATCATCATCCTCCTCCTCCTCGATCCTCCTCCTCGATCCTCCTCCTCGATCCTCCTCTTCCTCCTCCTCGATCCTCCTCCTCCTCCTCCTCCTGATCCTCATCATCATCCTCATCCTCATCCTTCTCCTCATCGATCCTCCTCCTCCTTCTTCTTCTCCTCCTCCTCGGCTAGACGGTGCGAACGGTATTCGGCATAGGCCCGAAACAAAGCAGGTCGACTTTGCACTCCAAGCCGTGGGTCTTCAGAGGGAGTCGCCCCCCCTGACACCGGCAATCAAAGTACACCTCGGGAAGGAAAGATAGGCTGCAGCCATACGCTACTATTCGCGATTATGCCTATTACGGCCCCTGCCCACTCCTCTTTCAATAACGTTGCGATTCCCGCCAGCACTGGCTGGGGATTAGCCATCCCTGAGCATTTCCAGATCCAGACGTCACTGGCCCCCTCCCCCCTCCCCCCAGCAACTCCCGTAATCGCCAGGGGGAGGTGGGGAGGACGGAAGAAGAGGCGAGGGAGGACGGAGGAGAGGCGCCGCCGTCGCCGCCGCCGCCGTCCTCAGTCTGGGGCGCCGGCGATGAGGTAGCCCCAGCCAGAGGCGACCCACGCCACGAGCAGGTCGGGGATGACCCACGCGAAATAATTTATCTGCCGACCGCTCTGCCGCCGCCGCCGACGAGGGCCAGGATGTTGGCGACGGGCATGGACGGTGGGGGCGAAAACGACCACGGTGCTGGGATCAGCGCGCGCGAATGATGGGCAGTGCACCATTGCGTGAGAGCGGAGGGTGCTCGGTTTCCCCCGGGGCTGTAGGCGACCCGAAGAGGAGGAGGAGGAGGAGGAGGAGGAGGAGGAGGAGGAGGAGGAGGAGGAGGCGGAGGAAGGAGGAGGAGGAGGAGGAGGAGGAGAGAGGAGGAGGAGGAGGAGGAGGAGGAGGAGGAGGAGGAGGAGTTGAGGTGGAGGGGAGGAGGGAGAGGAGGAGGAGGAGGAGGAGGAGGAAGGAGGAGGAGGAGGTTCAGGAGGGGAGGGGGAGGAGGAAATGGCGGAGGGAGGATGGGAGGGAGGAAGGAGGAGGAGGAAGGAGGAGGAGGAGGAGGAGGAGGAGGAGGAGGAGGAGGAGGTAGGAGGAGGAGGAGGAGGGTGGGAGAAGGAGAAGGAGGGGGAGGAGGGAGGGAGGAGGTGGGCGGGAGGAGGAGGAGGGCGGGAGGGGGAGGAGGAGGAGGAGGAGGAGGAGGAGGAGGAGGGAGGAGGAGGAGGAGGAGGAGGAGGGGAGGAAAGGAGGAGGAGGAGGAGGAGGAGGAGGAGGAGGAGGAGGAGGAGGAGAGGGAGGCGGCGGAGGACGGGTCGCCTAAGCCCTTCGGAGGTACCCTCGAGGAGAGGGTGCAATGGCAGCCTGGGCGGCCGTGAGCTAGAATCTCGAGGGCGCGTGCGCCGGTGGCATCCAGGCACGACTCGCGCGCAGGAGTGCGCGCGGGGGGGGGGGGGGCGTGACCCTCCAGGGCTTCGAGGGAGGAGCGGGGAACGAGACGACGAGGGCGACGAGAGAGATGGTGGTGTTAGGTCGAGCGTGTCCTCCCACAGGCGGATTTCGGAGGGAACAACATATCCCAAATCCATCGATCTATCTATCTATATAAACATAAGAGCCAAAACTATTCGAAACATCGTCCCCTCACTGCTTCTTGCCTATTTTTGAGTGTTCGCCCTGTAGAGGGACAGGCCCGATTTAATGGTGGTGCCAGTTTGCTCCAGGCCGCCTCGTTCATGCTGGGGTGCTTTTTGAAGCCAGGTCTGGCCTCAGAGAGGAAAGAGCCGATCAACTCTGTGGGAGAGAGAGAGAGAGAGAGAAAGAGGAGAGAAAGAGAGTGAGAGACATCCACCTGCGGGCGGAGCCCGTCCCTGCGCGGGATGGGGTGCATGGCGCATGGCGCCGCAGCGCCTCAGAGCAGCCTGGTCACCGTGTCTGACAGCAAAAGGCTCCCTCCCAATCCTTACGTTTGCTCTTGCCGGCAGCAATATAAAGCCAATTCGTCCCATCCACCAGATCAGTTTCCTGCCGTGCTCCGGGCACACACAGGAGGAGACCTTTGGCGTGCGGCTTGCCGATCTCTGCATGCGATGCGTCAGCAGCGACCTGCGTTCGTGTGTGTGTGTGTGTGTGTGTGTGTGTGTGTGTGTGTGTGTGTGTGTGTGTGTGTGTGTGTGTGTGTGTGTGTGTGTG